CAAACGTTTTCGCACATTTTGTGCATCTTCACGTTTTAAAAATTCTAAACTATCTGTGCAAAATGATCAAAGTTCATAAAAAGTGTCACACACATCATTACTTCAAAATTTTAAAAATTCGACCAATCAAAACATTACAAATATCACTGAAATTATGTAACAACTATTATGTAACATTTTAAAACATTTTGTCACAAATTTCTGAGAGTTTTCTTCATTTTTATTTTCACATTTTCGTTTTGTGGCTAATTTTTATGCTAACATGTAAGTTGATTCAAAATTTTGTTGTTTTAGCTAGAATTTTTTGATTCTCGAACTATAGCCTTAGTGTCAGCTCCCTACTTCTAAACTCGTCGCGCGTGTTAATTGCCGGTCTCTTTTTCCTAATGTGCAGCGCCTCTAATGTAAGTTACTTGATGCTGCTGGACGCCTGATCGATTATTTTCCAATTAAACTCAGACTTACCACGCTCACTACCACACTGCCTTATATGCTGTCCAACTGGGGTATCCTCTTTTCGCTGTTCCTCAATCCTTGTGGTGAGATGTCGGACCGTCTGGCCAACATAGATGGATTTGCACCCACAACATTCAAGTCTGTACACCACTTTTGATTTCAGTTCACTGGAAAAGGAGCATTTTAGAGAGGGCATACAAGTTTTCAATTTCCTCGTCGTGAATATTATCAGCGCATTGGTGATCTCGCGCACTTTTTTTTTGCTAATGTCTGACTGTGATTCCCCCTAAATTGGACCATCAAGATGGGTGGTGAATCACTGCTATAATCACAGGGCTACTTTTTCTCAGCCATGTTCTTTTTGTTTTTGCCCTCGCTGATGATCTTTTCGAGGGCATGGGAAAACCCGCGACGACCAACTTTCCGGATATTGGTTATCCAACCACTGCTCACGGTTGATTTTCATGGCTTTATCATATTCTTCCCATGTTGACGTACTGCGGAGAACCCGGTGAACAGTTCCTTCAATCACACTTCTCTTGTACTGAAGGGGGCGCAGCTTCTAAAATTGAGAATGGTACCTGTATCTGTTGGTTTTTGATACCACCCACAGCTAATTTTCCTGCTTTTGTCAATACTAATTTTTAAATCCAAAAATGCCAAAGTTCCGTTTGTGTTTGGTGTCTCTATTGTGAACTGTAAATTTGGATGTAGTAAGTTTGCAGCCCAGAGCACTTTTTCAGGATCACCCTTCACTGTTCTCACTATATCATCAACGTAACGGAGAAACAATTTAGATTGTTGCCCTGACTTATTTTTCTCCCTTATTGCGATGCATTTTCTGCAGTACCAGACGGTTTCACTTATATTTCGATACTCATCATCTGATATATCACCGCATTTTACGTGATACCAGTTCAAACAGCATTCACATTCTACACCTTTTAACCTGTACGTGACTTTCTTATTGCACTCGGGACATATTCCGTGAAGATTTTTCTCGGGCAAAAACATTTCGGGAATATCCCTTGATAGTGCAGTTTCGTACTGCTTCAGCCAAAGATTTGCTAAAATAACGGCAGGAGATGCCCCATTGCCAAACCATCTTTCTGAACGTACCATGTTTCATTGCACTTGAATTGGACTTGACTAACTGCCATGTTCAACAGTCTTTTCATGGTTTTCCTAGCAATTGATGTTGGTTCATCTTGCTCATACAGTTGTCTCAGAGCTATGTCTATCGCTTTTTTCAGTGGAACATTTGTGTACAAACTCTTCACATCTAGAGATATCAAGTTTTCATTGGGCTCAAGATTAGTGCTCTCTAAGATTTCTCTCGCATCTAGTGAGTTGGTTTCGATGTTTGCGCCCTCATTTTTCTCGAAAAATTTAGCAAGAACTTTGTTCAAGTTATAATAAGAGCTACCAGGCAAGGAGAGGACCGGTCTTAATGGGGTATTCAGTTTATGCACTTTCGCCAACCCATAAAGCCTGGCGGGCTGCCCCCCAGTGGACCTCATCCTTGTGTAGAGACTCTCACTTATTTCATCTTTTTTCCTCATAGCCAACAACTCCTTATTGATGTCTCTTTCTATCTTCAAAACAATCGCATCACTTGTTCCTTTACTTTTGCTGAATGTATTTGAATCTAATGTATCCGACAACATGTTCTCGTAGGTGTCCTTTCTCATTACACAAAAACCCACGCCTTTGTCATACGGTACCGCAACTAATCCATTACTCTTCGGATACTTTCGGGCCTTCTCAACGCCTTTGTCAGATGGTGTTTGCTTCACCCTCTTAACATAGGCTTTTGCCACAGCTTCGATCTCACAAAGGGCCTCCCCGGGGACTTTACGATTTTTGAGATCAGATAGAAAGAGGTCAATGTCGGCGAGAAAGTGTGTCTCATTAAATTTATCCCTGACGGGATGCTTTGGCCCTAATGCCAACACTTGTTGTACCCAATTTGGTAATTCAACATCATCAAGAGCTCTTACCGAACCCTCACCTTGCTTCCCTAGAGGTCGGTCTTGCCTTTCTGATAGTTTCATTAGCTTCTTCTGATGGGTCTCTTTGACTGTTGCTGTTTGTCTTTGTCCCCTAAGACTTAAATATTTAATTACCGAAGGCCAAAACTTCTCATCTACACCCCTCTGTACTGCGCCTTTTGCCCTTTCTAGTTTGACTTCAACGTTTTTCTCATCTGTCCTTGCCTTGTTTATCTCCGTTCTTAGAAGTTTTGACTGAAAACTGTGTACCGCTTGGTTCGAAAACACCCCGTTTTCCGGTACCCTGAACCTCAAAAAATCAGGTATAATGTCGTTTTCTAGACAAACTCTCGAAAATTTAACACGTTGGTGACAGTTGATAAATTTAATATATATGGACGCATAATCACCGACTAATTTCCAAATGAGTTTGTTTTTCAATGTCCAAATCAAGAATGGAGGTGGGAGTACAACTGTGCTCATTGGTTTGCAGGCCATGAGGAATAAACCTCACGTGACACAAAGCAACTAAAATAACACAAGTTTAACTCACCCTCTCCGTTGAAGCCTCCTCTTCAGTCCGACCAACAGTTGCTTCGCCTATGTTCATCAGTCTTCTTTTCTCCACCCTCCTTCTCGATTGAGATTTCTTTTTCGTGTTTGAACGAAGCTTGGACAAGACAGCTGTCAGGTTGTCTTGGTGTTCGAACACAATCCTCAAAGAATTTAGCTCCAGCTGGACGTCCTGGTGCAGTGCCTGATATTCGTTGACCAGCTCCGTTCTTCTCAGACTCTTTGAAATGAGACACTTTGTAATAGGAATGACAAGAATACCCGAGCTGATCAGCTGGTTCCTGATATCCGGTGTACCGTTTCTCTGACAGTATACAATTGCGCTGATATTTGTCAGTGTCTTCAGGATTTCTGTCAATTCCTCTGCAGTGCAAGCTCTGAAATTGTTTGTGCGGTGGCTGTTGATAGAATTATTGATGATGTCGTGCCACACCACCACTTGACGTTTTTCTGCTAGAGGTGCCTGCAGAGTAGGCTTGCGAGGTTCTTCTGTGGGTTCGTGGTGTTCGGGTTTAAAGAAAGTCCCGGAATAGCCAAAAATTTGGGTAGAAATTGTTCTTTTTCCGAGTTGCTAAGTTGTTCCAGGCTGTGGTAGAGTGAGCTAGCTGCTACAATGTAGACCATTTCAATTCTAACATGGTAAAAATAAAAAAAGATTTTTCAACTAAAAAGATTTCTCCACTAAAACAAGGGAAAAATAAATTTAAAATTACGTCTCCTTGTAGGAGAGACTGTAATTGAGAATTGGCTCAACGCCGTAGGGTTTCAAAAATTGGCTCAACGCCGTCCAGCAGCATCAAGTTACTTATATTAGAGGCGCTGCACATTAATAAAGAGAGACCGGCAATTAACACGCACGACGAGTTTACAAGTAGGGAGCTGACACTAAGGCAATAGATCCAGAATCGAAAAATTCTAGCTAAAACAACAAAATTTTGAAACAACTTACATGTTAGCATATAAATTAGCCACAAAACGAAAATGTGAAAATAAAAATGAAGAAAACTCTCGGAAATTTGTGACAAAATGTTTTAAAATGTTACATAATAGTTGTTACATAATTTCAGTGACATTTGTAAAGTTTTGATTGGTTGAATTTTTAAAATTTTGAAGTAATGATGTGTGTGACACTTTTTATGATCTTTGATCATTTTGTACAGATAGTTTAGAATTTTTAAAACCTGAAGATGCACAAAATGTGCTAAAACGTTTGTTTGAATTTACAATTTTAACGCATTCTTGAAACGATTGTATAGCTACAATTGTTACGGAGGAGTTCCCGAGAATTCGTAGTGTATTGGAAAAGTTTTGCTACCCTTCCTGGACTACAACAAGACCGCTCTTCGACCTGATTCGACAATCCGGAGAGATCTTGGGAACTGAAACTTGTTTCTAGATAATTTTTAGCGTTCAGTTATGTCTTGAGTTGAATATAAATGGCATCTAATTCTGTTTTCAGAATATGAGAAGCTAGAAGTTGAGGGAAAAGGTTGATCCATCTCCGATGGATATGATGATTTTTATCTACTGAACAAAGACAAAAGTATTATGATGATAAATAGTAGCACTGTTTTTAGGAGTGACCTCGTGGTCTAGGGATACTGAGACCCAACCATGAGCTCACTTTTTTTGCATTTTACTAAGTTAATAGGAGCGATCTGGCAGATAGCCGACATTGTCGACCCGATGTTAATGGACCACTCATAGAACTGGCTTTGGTAGAGATGGATAAAAGCATGTGAAGCTGTGTTTAGACGCTAGCCAGTCGTTTTATAACCTAGCTTAATTTTCCGTCGGTATGTTCTTCCGAGCGATTGTTGCAAATTTACAGGCCAGTATTAAATTAACTTTTCTGAAAATCAAGTACAGTTGCGTATTTGAACTCTGTTTCAATTGGCAAATAGAGTGTTCATTCAATATTTTGATATATTTTGAATATACACCGCGAAATTTGAGAGGTGTGCCTCAAACTTTTTTTTCAGATTTTTGTGTTGGAAGACAATCATGAGCGTAAAAGTTTGCCTCAGAGTGCGCCCTTCGAAGTAAGATAATTTAATTTCCAACAACATTTTTCCACTACATGATTTATGAAAACTTCGGCTCCTTTAAATTTTTCTCATTGGATTTTTTGCTACAGTTAAAGTGAACGAGTTTCACGTTCTTAAATTGAACATGTGAATATGACTGAATGAAAACTTTGAACAATGCAAACTGTTTGCTTACAATTTTTAGATAACTACAATTAAGCTAATGGTTTTATTTGTTTCCTATTAAAACCGATTAATGAGCTAGATTTCTGTCGAAATTTAAAGTAGTTTTTTTTTAGTTTTAACCGAAACTCCTACTGATTTATTGTTACAGGAAACCTTTATTTTATTGTCTCCGTTGAATACCCATTGCTGTTTTCCGTGGTTTAAAGCTGCATCTGAATTTTTTTACTATCATATGTGAGTATTTTAAATTTTAATTGTATTTCAGCTCTGACGAGAATTGTGATAAAAATTTTGACATATTCGAATCGACTGTCAAAGAGAAAAGGACGAATGCTGAGTATTCTTTTGGTTAGTTACTTTAACCTTGTCAAGGGTTGTCAATTGTATTTTTTAAGTTTATTTCCACAAATTTTAAGCCACTTACTTGCGAAACGCCAACAGATTTGAATAAATATATATATGGAAAAGATTTCAATCTTGAATATCATCATCAGTTTTCCTAAAAACAGAAAAACATCAAGTACGTCCGCAAAATGAAATCTATTCAGCTGCTTTGAAAGAAAAAGCACCTATCAGTGGATAGAGAAATGATACTTCCTGGTTCCGAAAACCTATGGATACGGGTCTGATCCTCCAATTCAGATCCTTTAGTAGTAGTAGTAGTAGTAGTTGAGGCTTTAGGGCTCATTGGCCCAGGGGTGTCAACCCTTCAGTTTTCAGCTGGCATGAGTTTTTGGTAGGGGTTACACGATCCACAGGAACACAGTACACGCCAGGTGCATGTGTCTAGCTGATTGTAACTGTTTTCAAAGTAGTTGAAGTAACTTTCTGTCAGTTATTTTTTCGTCGGGTTGTCGCGAAACTGTTTGTGGAGTATATTGAAAAGTTTCGGGGCTCTCGTCCAGAAATTTTCGTCTGTTTTGCTGATGCGGTTTTTGTTGAGCTCGAATTCGCTGCATTGTCTCGTGGTGCTTTCTCTCAGTGATATTAGAATTGAATTTTCACTGACGCTGTATTTACCGTCCATGACCGATTGAAGAAACAGTATATCATGGAGTTCGATGTACATTGAGAGTGGTAAGATCTTCAGGGTACGTAGTCTCTCTTTGTATCCGATGGAGTAGTTAAGTATCCATGTAGTAGCTTTTTGTTGAACTCTTTCGATTTCCCGCATTTCGGTTTTTGATGGGTACCATACCTGCGATGCATAGGAAATGACAGGGACGACGTAACCTACATAGGCGTTCAATTTTGTTTCGAGATTTGCATAGCATGAGATGTTACGTTTGAGGTTGAAGAAGGCTCGCCATGCTTTACCGGTCCTACGTTTAATGTTTTCGTTCCACGAGATGTTTTTTGTCATTATCACTCCTAGGTCTTTCTGGGAGTTGACAGTGCCTAGTTTCACGCCTTTTGAACTCACAGGCTCTGTATTTCCTTTTATGCGTAGTGCCTTACTTTTTCCCATATTTAGTACCATTTGGTTTTTGAGACTCCACTTTTCAATTTCCGTTCCGAGGACAATTGCTTCTTCGTAGTTCTTTGCAATTACTTTAAAGTCGTCGGCGTAGCCAAAAGAAGTGCTCGGTTTGACTGATTCTGGAAGATCGTTAACGTATATCAGGAACATGAGCGGACCTAGTATTGAACCCTGTGGTACTCCACTTGTTACTGGCGTGACTGGAGATTTGCTTCTATCAATTTTAACACATTGTTTTCGTGCTGTTAGGTAGCTGGCTAGTAGTTCAAGGATTATCCGCCAATTCCCATTTCTGCAATTTTGGATATCAGTGGTTGATGTGGGACCTTGTCAAAGGCTTTACTGAAGTCTACGTATAGGACCCATAGTTCAGCGTTTTCTTTGATGTCGTTTTCCAGATAAATTTCGTTCAGAAACAACAGAAGTTGTATGATCGCTGATCTGTTTTTTCTGAAACCGAACTGTGCTGGGTGTAGTTTAGTTTCGATTGTTGGATATAATCGGTCGAAGAGTATTTTTTCAAATACCTTTGATACATTTGCCAAAAGACTGATGGGTCTGTATTGCGATATGTCTGCCTTGTTGTTTTCTTTAAAGACTGGTGTTATTTCACTGGTTTTCCATCGGCGTGGAAATGATCCTTTATTAATGCAGGTTTGAAAAATGAGCTTTAGAGATTTTGCGAGTGATGTCGCGTGTTTCAGGATAATGTTTCCAATGTTGTCCGGACCGCATGCTTTTTTTGTTTTCAGTGATTGGAGGCATCTGGTTATTTCTTCCTCGGATAGTTTCAGGTGGTTTGTTTCTGATTTTATGTAAGTTTGTTTGCCGGTTAGTTCACCTTGTTTGCTGAAAACTTGGGTGAAAAATTTGTTAAACAGAGAACATTTTTGTTCATTGTTTACTGCTGTTTCAGTTGTGTCCGGTGATTGATTAAGGAACATTTCGTCTGGTAGGGGATGCTTTTTGTGAATCGATTTCAAGTATTTCTGAAGATCAGACATGCGGCGGTTCTTGAATACTTTAGCTTCGAATATGGCTTGATCCATTTTGATTTCTTCGTTCAGGCTTTTTTCAGCTTTTTTGATTTTCAGGAGTAGCGAGAGTGAGTTTGCTTTTGCGTATTTACGCTTCATTGTCGCGACTATCTTCATTTGATGTGAGGTGGATGATCTAATCCAGGGTGGAATTTCTGCCCTGTGTTTGGTGACTCGGGGTATTTTTTTTCTGAGGTATGATGTTCTTGAGCCATTTGTACCACTGTAACAGTAGGACGTCAATGTTGCTGTAGCAGTATGGTGTAAATGGCTGGCTGACGATTTGTTTGTTGAAATCATCCCAGTCGGTTTTCTGGTATGCGCGTTTAATAGCTGGGGTTGTTATTTTGCTCGAAGTTGGTAGGGACAAATAAGTTTTGTATGCGTGATGATCGGAACACTTTTTTCCGTTTGATGAGTATTGTGCTTCTAGTCGATAGCCGAGCTTAGCACAAGAGTCGGGTCAGTGGCAAGGAATACATCGAGGCTCCTGCCTTCGTGGCACGTGATTAGCTGATGTAGATCGTACTTTTCTAGAGTGTCCAGTATGTTGGCTTCGTATTCGTCGTTTGAGTTTAGGCTGTCCCAGTTTGCTTCTGCAAGATTTATATCTCCGGTTAGGATGAGTTGCGATGAGTTGTCACTAAGCGAGTCATGAAGCTGTTCTAAGACGTCTTTTATGTTGTCGGGAGATGCTCTATACGGGCTGTTTTTGGGGGGATTGTAGAAGCAGCAGATTACTATCTGCTTCTGACGAGATTTGATTTCGATGGCAGCACATTCTAGTTCGGTTTTGAGTTCTATTCTGCTATGAGTTAAACCTTTCACTGCAATGAGGACTCCGCCGTGCTTAGTGTTCTGATCCGTATTGGGTCGATCTGTTCTGTGTATTGTGTAGTTTGATAGAAAGAGGGCCTCGTCTGGTACTGCAGTTGTGAGCCATGTTTCAGTTAGACAGATGATGTCGTAGTCGTTTGTAAGAACTGCATTTGCCAATGTCATGCGTCTACTAATGTCTAGCAGGCTCCTGACATTGAAATTTAGAATACTGAGCGAACTTTTAGTATGTAGTCATTGTTCTGGTTCTGGCGGAACATTTTCCCAGTTGTCTAGATTCTTGTCGTCAGTTTCGTTTGTGTTTTGTTGAAGCTTGAGGTTTCTGATTCGTAGACGTTTTTTGTCGTATTCGTTTTCGATCATCTTTCGGCGTAGTTTCAAAGCATCGTTTTCAATTTTTTGGTCTTCAGGGGATAGTTCCTTGCTCATATATACCTGTTTAGAGTAAGTTTTTAATTTGTATAGCGACAGCAGTATCAGCCGTCGATGGTGTTCGCTGGTTGTTTTGATTATGAGTGTTCTGTCTTTTTTGCCATCGTAGTTTCCACATCATTTGTGCCCACATCATTCAAGAAGAGCATTATTGAGGGACTAGTGCTCCGAATTTTCAACTGCACTTGCAACTGGGGAAAGTTTCTACAAAGGCGTGTGTAGATAAAAGTGAATTTTGGGAAAACAATTAGTACACATCGCAGTTATACAAACCGATTATGAGAAAAACAAAAGACAAAATTATAAATGGAAAAATGAACTTTCCATTGAACAACATCGCGGAAAGTCCCACATCAAAACTCATTATAGACGTGCAGTACAGAAGAACTTAAATTGAGTACTTGGCGCAGAAATTAAAACCATGCGTTAACGCCAGCATGATTTGGACCAACAGCAAAATGAAAGGCGCCCTCCTTTCACTGAAGATTCCAAGGCCAGAGTTAGTGCTAAGCCATGTATTTCGAATCACCTGTTCAGGTTGCAAGTCCAGCTTCGTCGTACAAAGAAGTCACCACCATCTGGCCGAACACCTCAAACACTGCGAAACCACCATGGATGAAGCAGAGGTCCTGCTTATTGACAAAACGAATTACGGAACCAAACTTTTAACGGAGTCAATTAAAAAACATGACACTTTTATTTCAACATGATAAGCAAGAACAGGATGCAAGTGTAGGTCATGCAGTTTTAGTCTATTATAATATTTATTTACTGAATAATAATGTAACAATAATAACTTTGCCTTCAATTAAATTTAAATGGTTTTTGCACGATGTTTTTCCATGTGTTGCCATAGAGGGATCTTCACTGAAGATAGATAGAAAATAATTCTCAAACTTAAATTTCAGTCTTATAGGTTAAACTGCTAATGCTAAGGTTTGCATTTGATTTGTGCTTTCAATTTGGTTCCATACTAAAACTGATTTTCTGAAAAAATAATTTTCGATATAATGGCTGCTGAATCTTTCATGGAAATATGTTTTTTATTTCTCTTGTTCTCATCAATTGTGTGGTTTTCGTACTTGACTTTGGTGTATGCTGGTAGTAGATTATGTTTGATTTTCCAAAGATGACAGACTTATTTCCAATTAAGAAACATTGAAAACGGTCGTGTTGTTCTATAGTTTAAGATCAGATGATGAATCAGATTTTCTTTTGTCACAGCAGGTCTTAAATTGCCACCTTGGTTTTTTTTCCAGGGATTTTGTCAGATTTGTTGTTATACCGTTAGGAGTATTGCTGGGTAATGCAAATGGCTTATGACTAGCGCATTCATTAGTAGTAATCTGTTCTGGATTGTCAGCGGTCTTTTTATTGATTGTAGCAGGCCATTTTTTCTAATCTACTTATAACTTCACCTTGAAATGTAAGGAATTGATCAACAGTTACCCCTTACTACTTTACTTGTTGTTTTTTTTCTGTTTCATTCTCATCTAAAATAATACTGAACTTTGTATTGTTGCTTTTAGCAAGATGTTTTTGCTAAACATGATCAGTTCATT